TCCTCCCCTTCCTTACCCTCTCCTCTCCTGTTTCCTTCCCTCCTCTCCCTCCCTCTCTTCCCCTCCCTTCCATTCCCCTCCCCTCCTCTTCCTTCCCTTTCCTTCTCTTCCCTGCTTTTTGTTTTCTTTTTTTTAGAGAGAGGGTATTGCTCTGTCATGTAGTCTGGAGTGTAATGATGCAATCGTGGCTCACCACAGTCTTGATGATCTCCTGGGCTCAAGAAATCCTCCTGCTTCAGCCTCCTGAGTAGCTGGGACTACCAGTGTGGGCCACCACAACCGGCTAAACCTCCCGCTCATTTCTTTGTTGTATCTGACACTACTGACAATCTGCTTCTTGGAGCTGTCTTTCTTCTTGGCTCTCAGAGGGAGGTTCTCCCCCTCTTCTCTCTCTGTTTCTTCTCAGCCGCCATTATGGCCCACTTTTCCACTATCTTTCCTTCAAAATCTTTTCCCTTAGGGTTTTACCCTCTAGGCCTTTGTACTTCCCATATTCTCCTGAGAGCTCATCTGCTTCTTAGACTTCCTTGAATTGTCATTTATAAGCACATGACTTACCAACCTGACTCTCATTTTAATTCAACAAAGAGTTCTTGAAAATTTATTGTGTGCTAAGATCCATAGTCACAAGTGGCATATAAGAGTTTATGGTCTAGAACTCTGTCTTCTGAGCTCTAGACCCACGCATCTAATTGTCTTTCTGTTTGCTACAATTTGAAGATATGCGTCTAATTCACAGACTAGCAGAAACAAATACATATATATACAAATTATGTGTGTGTGTATCTCTCTCTCTCTCTCTCTCTTTCTCTCTCTAAATTTTTTCTACCGGGTTCCAGAACACAGCTTTGTTTGACAACATGTCAGCAGATAATCCTGCCTGTTCTGTTCTTTGCCTTGAGAATGCACCAAAAAACCTGGGTTACAAGATGTGTGCATATGTCTTTTGACTAGGAAGTGCAGGAAGTGCAGGACTGCTTTCCAGGACAGTTGGAGTGCCTGGAGTTCTAAGAATGCAATTTGGTCCATAGGTGTTTTCTCCCTGCCTTCGGAACAGTAAGACATTGATAGAGTCACAGGCTGATGATAATTGATGTACAACTTGAGAATTGTATATCACACTGATGTTGTCAGTAGCAGACCCTATCCTGTGGTTGCTTATCCCAATAGTACTGCAGCATGAGGTTCATGCACGTGAAGAGTTGTACCAGCTTAGAAATACTTCAGTGCGAAACTGAATAAGCATGGTGCCTTTCTTGTAAAAGTCAGAGCGGGCGGACCAAGAAGGACAGAGTAGCAAATCTCCTCTAGGATGGCCTGGCTGAGCCTGGGAGGACCAGCGGTTCTCTGAGACAGGCTTACCTCTGTTTCAGAATCTGTTTGTTGTCATCGATGGTAACGCTGTCAGCGTGGTCCCTCTTGAAGATTTCAAAAGCCTCCTGGCGTCCTAATGACATTTCCTCTCTCATTTCTGTTTGGAGACACAGGGAAATAACCTCAGTCACAGCATCGGGATTCTATTAATTTCATTGTCACTTTAGTCAGACCACAAAGCCAGCCCTGGCTCCTAGAGACCCACAGCAGAGAGACCCTGACCAGACAGGTGGCCCCAGGCTCTTCCAGCTGGCCGCCAACCCACGGAGGAGGCCCTTCCAGCAACATTGTTGCACACTGGAGGGCTGTGCCTGCATGCCCATGTGACTTGTGGGGGGTGGGGTTTGGAAAGTCTGGTCAGAGGAAATGAAAACCAGAGCGCCAAGCCCTGGATTGCTGAGGACATCTGCAAATACACTTTCTGCCATCCTTCAGTGCCACACTTCTCCCTGTTTCCCTGTTATGTCCCATTTTGGTTTTCTGTTAAATTTCACCCTGAATATAATCCAAACTGAGACATACAGAATCCAGAAAATTCTGCTCTTAGTCTCCACATAACGATTCATCCTTATTTCCTATGGCAAGTGTGAGGCTTCCACTCTTACTTAGGAGTTGGATTCTCAATTGCAAGACCAATGAGCCCATGGCAGAGGTCCCTAGTTCATATCTAACCTCAATATCTGGTATTGCCACTGCCACTAAAGGCCAATCCTCACTTCAGAGTTCAGCTTCTGGAACCCAGAGTCAGAACAGCCAGGACCAGGTCCTGTGCCTCACAATCTCCCAGGTGAGGGTCAGGGGAGTATGTGTGTTGGCATTGGCATCTCCTTAGTGAGGGCTGAATTCACAGTTGCCTTTCGGGTGCACCTATAGTCATTTTTTAAATGCTTCTGCCCTTGGCTTCCTCACCTGGGGGTCCTTTTCCCATGTCCTCCTCCAGGAACTCTATTTTCTTTGAAGCCCTGGCTGAATGTTGCCATGTTCATGATGCTTTCCCTGAAGCCCAGGCAGACATGTTCCTTGTCAATACCCCACAGCTCAGTAGACATTGTCACTTCACATGACAATCTTCCTGGTGATGTGCAAGTTTCTCAGGAGGTAGACATGATATTTTTTTGTGAATCCTAGTGCTGTGTTCAATGGCTGGCACTTGGAAGGTGCCCAATATCTATGTGTTAAATGAATCAATCCAGGAACGAAGTGGAGGGATAACGGGCCTTGTTCTTGCTGCCACAGGAACACAGTCCAGGGCTGGTGAGGCTCACATGAGGCCCAGGATTCCAAGAGGCTTTCACATGGGCCACAAACAACATCTCCTCTCGCCTGGAAAAAATCCTTCAAGTCCTGTCAACCCTCCTCAGGGTGAGGAACCGGACTAGCCCCATCTGACACCAATTTGATGATTACTGTTGCTAAAAATAGCACCATGAAGAATGTCTGAATGGTGAGGCACACAGAGACACCCCGCCCTTTTCCAATCAGAAGCAAATGGGCACAACTCAGCTTCGTCTCCACATCTGCCTTGCACACTCCAGAATTGGGTAGGCCTGGGAACCCATTTGTATGAGCCTTAGAAAGATGAGTACTGGTGCATGGGACACATGCACAAGGGACACTTTTCACCAGCAGGGCCCACCAGGAGCTGAGGAATTCACTCCACTCCTCTCACCTCCGTCTGTTCTGTACCTGGTTCTAACACTGTATGCCTTTTGCTGCATAATAAAATAGTAACACAGGGTAGAGGCCATGAGCCTCTCTGAAATAAGGTTAAGGAAGAGGAAAGCTCCATGGAGACCACATGGGGACTGCTTGTGGGATCCCCCAATTGACCTCCCACAGAGGAGCTGAAGAGAAGACTTCTACTAACCAGGTAGTGGCAGGAATGGGGGTTGGAGGTGGAGGGTTGCTCAAAAAGCTGCACAGCTTTTTGAGCTGCACTGAGGGAGAAGGGTTCATGGTCTCTTCTCTCCCAAGCTCTGCTTTCTTTGTAGAGTTAAGAGTCCCAACTTAGAGTTGGGTGGAAAGGGTCATGCTAAAGCCCATGGCACAGTAACAGCCGTCGATCCTGGGAGGACTTACAACCAACTTAATACCCCTCTGGGTCTTCCCTGAGTGTGTGGGGGCCTGGCAGTGGGAGGAGAGAGGACATGGAGTGCACAAGAGGAGACAAATCCAGGCAGTTTGGAATCACTTCGTAGAGAATCTTGAAGATCCTGCTAAGAAATCTGGGGCCAGCAGCGTAATATGTATCCTACATGAATCATCAATTTACAAAGACTTAAAACCTAAGAAAGTATACATGATGGGAAAGTTACACTGGAAGTATTTAATACTTTTGATGATTTAAAAGGCTCTTAGTGCCATGGACTTGTCATCAGGGACATGACATCAGCTTTCCTCCTGCTATCATGGAGAATGCATCCTGGAATTGGAATCCTTTGATTGTGATGACTGCAGCTAAATGGACATGAGCATGATGACTGTCATCCTGCTAGCTAGCTTCCTAAGTGTCTGCTCAGGAAGGCCAAGGTGAGATGCCTCATGGCGTCCGTAGTCTGAAAGCAAAGAAGCAAGGCCTGAATGTCTATAGAGACTTCAAGCCTACCCCTTGGAACAAGACCAAGGGCCAGAGAGAGGCACAGGGGAAGGACTTCTGGGCAGCTGTAGAGTGTCCCCAGCCCAGTCCCACCCTTGTCCTTCCCCTTTCTGCTTGCCAGAGCCCACATCAAGCTTTTAGATTGTACTAGTATAGCAGTTCTTACTCAGATTTGGGGTCACCCACAAAGTTAATGAAGAGCTTTTTATTATATTGAAGAGATGCCTCCACTTTTTTATTTCCCTCTGAGGATTTAGAAAACAGGCTCTTATTCCTATGGCAAGCCTTGCCTCTAAGCACATGCTGTATACACTAGAAAGAGAAAGAGCAAGTAGAGCCAAAAGAATGGTTGAAAGCTCACCTTGCTAATGAGACAAACATCTATTTGTTTCCTCTCTGAGGAAATACTTATTTCTCTTAGGCACTGTGCTATGCATGTGACAGAGATATAAGATTGAATAAGATTAAAGCTTGGATCCTTGTACAAAGTCCAGTAGGGAGGAAGAAGTGAACAAATAATCACAATGGAGGTTGCTGCTCGCTGTAGGGAGGATGTGTCTGGCACCAGGGAACAGGAGGAGGCAGGGAAGGTCAATTGTCAGGGAGAGTGGAAGAAGGCTGCACGGAGGAGGGAGTAGGTGAATTTCGTCTGGAAGGATTCTGAAAGTTGGACCAGCATTCGCCAGGTGGAGAAGAAGTGGAAGAAGGTCCTAGGTGGAGAGGGCAGACACGTAGTGTGGATTAAAAGTGCAACTGGATAATTATGGGTGGTTCTTCCATCCAATAGACATGACCTTTGGTGTGGAGAGCACGGCCTGAGCCAAGATGGCGCCTGGGACCTCTGCCAAGTCCCATGATTAGGCGCATGATATACCGCCGGGCCCTCCTTCACTGCGCACCGCGCAAGTGCAACGCTGCAGAGCCTATGAACTGCTGACACGCTGGTACGGGACGTGTGGGTGGAGACCAAGGGATATAAGTACGGGACAACGGGGAAGAAGGAAGAAGAAGCTAGAAGAAGAAAGAAGAAGCTGGCATGGTGTAAAGGCTGAATAAACCGCTTTGAGAAGAACACGTTGTTGTTGCCTCCTTCCTGCTGGTCAGGGGTGAGCGACAAGTGGTGGCCCGTACGGGGACCTCAGCTGTTCAGAACTCATCGCGGACAGGGTGACTAGTCACAGGGTAAGTTCCCAGGTAAGTGGGACAAGCAAGGCTCTTGATTGAGACAATAAGGTTCCCGGTTAACAGGGACAAGCTTACTTAGGACAATAAGGTTCCCGGTTAACAGGGACAAGCTTACTTAGGACAATAAGGTTCCCGGTTAACAGGGACA